GGTTCCCCGGTGGTACCCTTTTGCCCTTTTTCTTTTTGGCTTCCCTTATTAAAGCCACATAGCAGGAAAAAGGGTACCCTTATCATTAAGGGGCTACTGGGAAACCTGGGAACTGTTTGCCATGATGCTACCTGAAACTGCGTGGGGCAGTTTTTATTGGGGCTTCTAATCCGGGTAACTATACGGTTTAGGGGTTTCGGGTTTAGGGTTATTGGGGCTTATAAGTAGGGTACGTAACTGTCGTTTGAACCAATATTAGGGGACGTACAGCCACACTTTTCACTACCCATGAACCTCCAAGTAGAGCTGGAAAGGCTCTACCTAGCATGCCAGACTCCCGAAGCTAGCATGGAACTTGTTGTAGGGCGCTGTCCTTTTTGCAATGCTGGCTGTTTGGCGTTCCCCTTTCACGGAAGGTAAAGCAAGGAACCCTGAACCCAAGACCCAAGCAAAGACAGCTTCCTACATCCCTCAGGCATGTAAAGGTCCCTCTATTCATGGAGCCCGAACAGCATTCGTAATTCCACAGTTCGTGGCAACTTGAGGACTCCAGGGCAGTTCAGGGGCATTTTCATAGGCCCCATAGTAGTTCCTTTTTTGGGGGGATTACCTTATAGGATTCTATACATGAACCCCCAAAAGGAACTACTTTAGGGCCAACCCCAAAAGGGAACTACCCTAGGGCCTATGGGCATATCCTGAACCGAAGAACCCTAGCGAACTTCTGTACCGCACTACCCAGCAAGCCCGGACCTGGAAGCTCGAAGCACCATATGAGCCCTGAAAAGCTGCATCTACCTATCTGAATGTGCTTGGCTCCCCAGTAGTACCCTTTTGCCCTTTTTCTTTTTGGGTTGCCTTCATAAAAGGAAAAAGGGTACCCTTGTTATTTAGGGGCTACTGGGGATCCTAGTGCGGCAATGAGAGGACAAAGTCAGGTGAATAATATGCACGCATGCTCTGTGCAAGCCCCTATGATGCAGCGGGCCCTGAATCCTAGTATAGAGCCCACTCCAGGTTTACCCTTAAAGTTCAAGTCTAAGCTAATTTGTACGCGCTAAATCCTAACACATGAATACATGCATGCATCCATGTAGGCATGCAGCCATAGCTCCATGCATCCATGCATCCATACCCTCAGGGTCCATGTACGCAAACAGTGTATATATATATATATATATATTTATTTATTTATTTATTTTTGGCCTTAATATTAATGTAGTCCTGACGTAGGTCCTGGCCGATGTATAGACTACAGGAGTACATGGACCCTAAACCCGAAACCCTGACCCCCGCCTAAACCCTAAACCCTCTCCCCCGCAGGTCATTCATCCCGAGCTCCGATGCGATGAGGAGCTGGTGCTGGAGGCCGTGGCCGAAAACGGTGTCCGGGCACGACCAGGGGTCCGGGCTTCGGAAGTTTTAGGGCTTAAAGGTTTCAGGGTTTAAGGGGCTCAGGGTTTGAAGGGTTTAGGGTCTGAAGGGCTTAGGGTTTCAGGGTTTAGATTTATGCAAGTTTTAGGGTTTAAAGGGTTTCGGCTTTTAGGGCTTGAAGCTTGTAGAGTTTCATACTTAGGCCTGAAAGTCTAGGAGGCACGATAGCGGGGTAAAGGGGCCGGATCGAGTTTGCATGTGTTCCGAGCTCTACAGCGTTCTGCAACAGAGGTTCAGAGGGTTCTATAGAGTTTTGGTGTAAGAGATGGCTCTCCTAGGCTTTTGACGGGCGCTTTTGGTGGAGCCTTGCGGAAGGCTAACATGCTTGAGGGCTTGGTTTGGTTAATCAAGTTTTCGGACCCAAGAGCTACGACTGGGGTTTGAGTCTCCAAGCAACAGCTTCTTAACCCTATACCTCAAAAAGCTGTTCTAACTGACTGAGGCCCCCTATATGAGGTTTGTTTTTTTAAGTTGCACTGCACGCCAGAAAACACGGCGAATTTATTATTGCTAGTATTATTAAGGGTTTAGGGCTTGAGTGTCCAGGGGTCTAGGGTTTAGGGTCCTAA